AGTCATTAGTTTTACCTAAATATTTTCAAATGTAAAAGGAATTAGGAGAACAATTCAAGCCCTCAAGGCTTCCCTCTGTTGAGGAGGGTGGATGGGTAACTTCAGGTATTTGATTTAGAAATTATATTCTTTGTCTACTGTATTGTATACTCACTGCATTAAAGTTCCTTTTCATTAAAGTCTTATAGGTTTTGTCTTGATGCAGTGGATGGCAGAACCTATTTAGTGCAGGCAGGTTTGGGGGTTCACTCGTGCCCCTCTCTCCATGCCCTGTAACAGATTCACTAGAGAGAGTGGGGAGCAGAACAGGAGGATTTACTAAAATACACTGCTGAGGAAAGTAATGGACACTACAAAAGAGTTCTGCTGTGTCATATGTGGGTTAAATACCTGACTGGGGGTCAAATCAGGCAATAGTCCTGTTAGCACTGAGGCTTTAGGCCACCATGGCAAACCCAACATTCTTACAATAGTGATAGACTCTACATAGACTATAGCTTACACAGATAAATGCTACGATTGTTTCAAAAATGCTAAGATAATAAAAAAAAATTATAAAACAACCTAAAATGTTTTTAAATGAAGTAATAGAAAATTGTTGGGAAGAAAATTGACACTGACAGGGACTATGATTTATGATTTGGCCTCCTTATGTTAGATAAATTTGAAGTCAGATAACCAGAAGTTACCAACTCTTTGTACAGTCTCTGCAGATATTATGTGAACTAGACTGGGGCAGTCTCAGGGGAAGGGGAGAAGAAGGTAGAGGAGTAGCTGTGTGATAGAACTGCAGGAAAAATTGGGCAGCAGGCACACAGCCTTAAAAAGAGTAGGGGAGTGGCCCTGCCTGGTGGCGCAGTGGGTTAAAGCACTGCACTAAGAAGCTAAAGCCACTTCCACATGAGTTCGATCTCCGCCTGCCCCTGAGGAGATCCACAAGGTGAGGCAGACCTCTCCTGAACCGCCTGCTGCTCCCCTCAGCAGTGTACTTCGTCAATCTGCCTGTTCTGTACCCCACTCTGTCTCTGGTGAATCCTCTCACCACACCTGCACCTCTGGCCTCTGTACCCCAGTTCTGTATGCATAAATAAATCGTAAAAAAAAAAAAAAAGAGTCTGTGAGTCTACTACGAATGTCTACAGGGGACTGCAGGCTGGGTAGAAAAGTGTGTAGAGCCAGTTACCTAGCAATGGGAAGTGGTAGGTGATGATGACCCCTAGGTCAGATAGATTCATTTGTTCACTCAGCAATTCACTTACAGATTCATTCATTTATTCACTCTCAACAAACAGTTTTGGACTGCTGCTCTGTTTCAAATATTGTGGAAGCTCTGCAGACACAAAGCTACTATTTTAGGCTTTAAGTTATAGTTTCACTTTGGCTAACAACTGTAAAGTCTAGCTGACGGTATTGCCCATCCATACAACCAAAACCTTAAATACTAAATACTATACCCTATAGCAATTTTCCAGTAGCCAAGCTGTATGTCTTAAAACTTCAAGACTTAGTAGAGAGAGCATGCAAGCTTCA